CGAGGAGGTTGTTGTCTAAACCCTAAACGTTAGGGTTTAGACAACAACCTCCTCGTAGTAAGGGTCCTCCCTCAGACAGAAATTATAAGGGATCCTAAACTGTTGCACAGTTCGGGGTACACGCGAAGCATCCTGAACTGTTTGAGGTCATGTTCCCGAAGATTGCTGTGCAGAAACCACTCCAGCCGAGAACCCTAAACCCTAAACCCTAAACCTTGACCCCTGTAGTAATACATCGAGGCCACAGGCAAAGGCGTCTTGGGGGTTGAGCTTGTTGCTGCAGCCCGAAAGTTTTGTGGCGTCCATTTCCCACCCCCCGCCCCGGCCGCCCCATAACTTATGTTTTTTTCGGCTCGGTAAAGGCAGGCCTTGTGCGTGGCTCCCCCTCTTGGCCCCCCTCCCCCCTTCCCCCTTAGTTCTTCCTCTTCATGCTCAGTGTAGGCGAGCTTTCTTTGCAGCAGCATTCGGTGCGGATTGTGGCTTGGCACATGCTGCACAGAGCCTCCACTTGGCCTTCGAACAAGCTCGCGCGCAGGTTGAGCGCCAGCGGCCCCGCGGGGCAGAACTTCAACTTGAGAATCCGCCGACGACTGCAGAACACCGCCCGGCTTGCACGCTCGCAGGCTTTGGAGCAGTCACCCGAAAACGAGACATCGGTGGCTCCGAAGCTTGTGCTTGCTCGTGCAGAAGAAATCAACCTCTGGGCCAGCTGTCTCGCACCTTACCGACTGCCAACCTCTCTTCTCCACCCCCCCGAGCGCTAAACCCTAAGCACTAAGCACTGAAGACTGTATAAACTCTCAACCTTATACCCTATAAGCCCTATAAGCTCTTACGACACTAAAGACTATATAAACCCTCAACCTTATACCCTATGAGCCCTATAAACCCTATAAACTCTAAGCCCTGAACACTAAAGACTGTATAAACCCTCAACCTTAAGCCCTAGAAGCCCGATAAACTCTAATCCCGATGCAACTCCAGAATGCCCCAGGCTTCCCGCCCCAAGTATGGGGGCCTTGACAAATTAGAATAGGGTTTTGGGGCTCATCATACTGTAAGTATAATAGGGAAGCACCCAAAATAGTGTTGGTAATTATTTAGGCCCCTACCTTAAACTACCAAACCCTACTTTTTTGTAGGTTCCTATTATAAACGCTAATATGGAATTTCTAGGGACCCTACAAAAAAAAAGGTTTTGGTAGGTTAGGGTACATTACGTGCAGTCCCTGAAACTCCAACGTCTGCGGGTCAAGGTGCCCAGGGTCCACCAGTCGACCGGCTTGCCGTGGCCCTGTTTTTCAGTCAGCATATGGGGAAAAGGGTCTAGTAAGGGTTTAGGGTTTAGGGTTTAAGTCAAAATTTTGGCACCTATATGGGTAGTTTTCTAAATTAGGGTTCCTTTGGGGTCCTTTTTATAAGGGTGCCGTACCAAATTGGGGACCAAAAAGGGATCCTTATTTAGAGAAATACCCATATGGGGAAAAGTCAAAATTACGGTGCTGTTGAGGAATGCTATATAATTCTATTCTTCATACGGCGTACGGCAGCCTAGTTCTGATAACAACCCATAATATAGCGTTAGGGTGCTTAGGGCTGAGGGAGTAACAGTGATAGGACTCAGGGTGCTCCAGGCTCAGGCTCGGATGTATGTGGGTTTAAGCTTCTGGGCTTGAGGCTATGTGGACCTCTGGTGAAAGAAACCCCGGCCCCTTACCTCAAAAGGGAGGATAGCAGAAGAATCGTAATGGTAAAGTCCTTCAGGAGAAGACGGGGGCTATGATCCCTAGACCCAATATGCTAAACATTGGAGGTGTTAGCAACTGCTCCCTCGTGGTGTTCGCTTCCTCCAGTGGGGCGGGTGACTCACAGAGCACCTGAAAGTGCTGTGGGTCATGCTCCGGCCCAAGGCAAGGGACAAGGCGCAGGGCTGAGGTGGTCACCACCTTGCCATCCCGGCGAACCAGTTCAACGGCACTCTTCCGCCGGCGGTGCCGACACGGAAGGTGACGACCTTGTAAGATGCAAAATGTATAAACAGTCCTCTTTGCACCTTTTCGATTTGGGGCCGGCTGTCTTCCGGCACAACCCCGCGATTCCGGTGTCACGTGAAGCTCGGCTGCTGTGGGGACCGACAGCTCAGGGCAGATGCGGATTGTGCAAGCCGACACTCGAGGCATCGGAAAAAGATGGCCGACGCGTCAGCATCGTCAGGCCCAGCCTACTGATACCGTAGTCTTTGCTTCAGCTTACAAAGACCGCATCATTAATCAGGGGCTATAGAAGAGGAATGGAGTTCCCAGATTGGCTGGGAGTTACCACCAAGAGGAATTACCCAACTCTGGAAGCCGGACCACCCCGCACCTAGGACCACACCTCACCACCAAGTACGCAGTCATAGCTAAACAGTTGCGGAAATCGTCTTGTGAGATGGCGCCAAAGTGCGCAGGGCTTCCCTAAAATAACCCTTGAGGTTTGAAGCCGGGACATCTTTGTGCCGCATACGACTTCAAGGTCCTAGCCAAAGAGTCTAAGCCACTCCCGAAGGTCCAAAGTATCTATAGTAGAATGTAGGGTCTCTAGATTAGTAATGTCTACTATGGTTTGGGCAAGTATCCCCCCCATATAGGTACTTGCGGTTGATGACATAAACCCTGCATTACCCATGAATATACCATAGCTCCCATAGCTTAGGGTCCTTAAGGTCATGCAGGATTGATATCATCAGCAGTATGATAGTACCCCTGATAGTCCTTCAAAGCCCAGGCCCTAGACCCTAAACCCTAAACCCTAAACCCCTAAACCCCTAAACCCCTAAACCCTAAACCCTAAATCCCTGAACCCTAAACCCTAAACCCTAGCCTTAAAGACGTTTCGTAGATGCAAAAAGGACCCCTTTTTGGGACTTTCTGAGGAATCTCCCGGTTCAGAGACCTCTCTGGTCTGGTGCCTAAAAGCCCAGGGCCGGAACTTTTTGGTGTGAGGGTTTAGGGTAGGGCTTTAGGGCTTTAGGGGTTTAGGGCTTTAGGGTTTAGGGTTTAGGATTCTAGGGTTTAGGGTTCAGGTGCTTCCTATAGCCCAAAGCCAGAAAACCCAAGCCGAAGAACAAACCCTCCACCCTAAATCCCTAAACCCCTAAAGCCTCAACCCTCGAGATTCACCGTTGAGTTTGAAACCCTAAGCCCTTGAAACCTGCACCACGACTCCTACAAACCTGCCTTAAGGACGAAATGACCCCTAGAAGCAGGGGCCCCAAACCGTGGGTTTAGGGTTTAGGGTTTAGGGTTTAGGGTATGAGTTGAACCTTATACCCTTTTGGGGCTGATGTCGTCCTTAAGGTGAAATGGAACCTTCACAAAGTTCGAGGCTTTTCTCGGGGTCTTGTCGGGCCTTATCTTACAGGGTTCCGTATAATGTTTGCTCACACCCTGACCCATCACGGCATCATCATGAAACCGGAGATCCACAAAAGGCACTACTGTACTACTTGGGGGAATGTAGGCAGTTGTTACAAGAACGAGCCCCCCCCCCCTACAACTGCCCAACATCTCCCTAAACCCTAAGCCCTGGAATCCCAAAAAAGTCCCAACATCTCAGCTAGGCCTTGTTGAGCAAAACCTCTGGCGCGATGTATTCCGGGGTGCCGCAGAGAGTGTAGGTGCGGGTGCCTGTGCACGGGTTAGGGTTTAGGGTTTAGGGGTTTCAGGGTTTAGGGGTTCAGGGGTTTAGGGGTTCAAGGTATAGGGGTTCAGGGGTTTAAGGCTTAAGGTATACAGGGTTTTAGGGTTTGGGGTTTAGGGACGCAAGGCGCGGTCGGGTGTTGCTGCGTTGAGAGAGAACGAAGAACGATGACAACCAATGGACCAACTCTCGTCGGGTTTAGAGTCGTTTGAGGAGTCAACCAAAGCCATCCGAAGCCCGAATTCTAGGTTCAGAGCTTAGGGTCAGGCTTAAGAGAGCACCCACTGCCCTGACCTTGCAGAATCGCAAGTGTTGGCTGCTTCCTGAACTGTAGGTGACAGCCCTCAACACAGATAGACCAACAAACTCGCAAGCTCCAAAGGTTTGTCCGTTTGATCATATGTCGAAGCCTTCAAGATAGGAGGCAACTGGAAAATCTTCTACCTCAAATGCCTAACTCCCTAAGGCCCTTTGCACTTAGCCCATGAAAGTTAAACCCCACAACCTCAATGAAGTCAAGTTGGCACCATACTATAGCATATCATACTTTATTCTGCTACCTTGTACTTTACCATGCTAAGTATAACGTACTGTATCTTATTCTATCATGGTCCACCCAATAGTCTTGCAGTTCATGACAACCGTAAACCCTAAACCCTAAACCCTAAACCCCTAAACCCCTAAACCCTAAACATGACAGCAGGTGAAGGGCCTGGCTCCACAATCTTCGCGAAGCCGAAGTCGGTAAGCTTGGAGTAGCCGTTGGGGCCTCGGGTACAAACGGTTTAGGGTTTAGGGTTTAGGGTTTAGGAGTCAGGCGTGTGCTTGTTGGGTTGAGGCGGGGGGCAGGGTATGTTTTTTTTTTCTTCGGTTTCTTTTTGAGGAAGGGGGCGGGGTCTGTTGAGGGTTTCGGGGCTTGGGGTGCCAGAATGGGTGCCGTAAGAATTGGGGATGGGGGTTTTGGTGCAGGCTTTACTGTACTTAGACTAATCAGGAACCCTAAGGAATAGTTTGTGCTGTCATGCTGCCATTTTAATATAATCGGACTACAAGGGGCGACTATGACAAGTTATCCAGACTTCCCTATGCATTATACTATTACAAGAATAGGGGCTGTCAGGGACAGCTAGCTACGCGATATTCTGACATGAATCATACCGTTGCCATTCCTAGTTACGAGGAAGCCACAAACAGGCTTGTGCCGTCGCTGCCGCTAAGGTTACTGCTGCTGCTGCTGCTGCTGCTGCCCCTGCTACTACTACTACTACTACTACTACTACTACTACTACTACTACTGCGACTGCGACTACGACTACGACTACGACTACCACTACCACTACCACTACCACTACCACTACCACTACCACCACCACTACCACT